ACGAAACTTCAAGCTATCGGTATAGGTTCTGTAGACTGGTTTAAGTCCTACCTTAGCAACAGGAGACAAATTGTGAAAATCAATACAACGGAATCAGAACCCCTGCCGATAACATGTGGAGTTCCCGAAGGTAGTATTCTGGGTCCCTTATTCTTATGTTGTGTCAATGACATGCCTATCAGTGTCAGGTGCAAACTCTTACTGTATGCAGATGACAGTGCCCTGTTAGTGTCAGGTAAAAACCCACAAGATATAGCTAATGTTTTAACACTGGAACTGGAGTCCTGCACCAAATGGTTAGTAGACAACAAGCTATCATTACACCTCGGAAAAACTGAAGCCATTCTCTTTGGCACGAAACATAAACTGAGAAGGGTAAATAAGTTTAATGTCCAGTGTAATGGGGAGCCCATAACTTTGGTTTCATCAGTAAAATATCTGGGAATCCCCTTTGACCCATTCATGTCAGGAGAATTGATAGGGAACAGTGTAGTAAAGAAAGCGAATGCCAGACAAGTTCCTGTATAGACAAGCACAGTGTCTACCTACTGAGGCTCGCAGGACCCTATGTCTAGCCCTTATACAATGCCATATGGATTACGCTTGCTCTTCATGGTACTCTGCCTTGACAAAAAAAAAAAAAAAACTGAAAGATAGACTGCAAATCACCCAGAACAAAATCGTAAGATTCATCCTGGGGCTGGGACCAAGAGAACATGTAGGCCAGGATGAATTACAGCAGTTGGATATGCTGAATGTTGAAGACGGTAAAACAACTGAAGCTAAATCATGTTTATAAAATTCCTCACAAACAGTGTCCAGAATATCTTGCTGTCAATTTTGTCAAGGTTGGGAACCAAAGCAATCATAGTACTAGGGGGAGAGAGCACAACTTTGTAGTACCCACACCCCTCAAGGAAGGCTCCTTGACGCTGGTGAGGGGCTCTTGATCTAGGGAATTGGATCTGTGCTCCAGTTCCCTGAATTAAGCCTGAATGCCTTCCATCCCCCCATAGGCGCTGTATAATCCTACGGGTTTAGTGCTTCCCCCTTGATTATAATAATAATTTGTAGTACCCACAGTCATTGGCCAGGCTTCAAACACCTTTCATTGTACAGCAATAAAGGAATGGAACAGACTACCCGCACATGTCAAAGCCAGTCATAGCATGAACCAGTTCAAGAAGAGTGCCAAAAGGTGTCTGATGAATGTAGCTACAGAAAGGGAGGGGAATGATTTTCTATTTTTTAGCTAACATACGTGTAAATGTTACCTTATTCCTAGTAATGACCCTCGTGTAGTAGATAGTCTTTTTAGTATGATAATAAGATGTTATCTTCATTATAGAATAATAAGAAAATATTATAACCTTTATATTATAATAATAAGGTAAAAGGACCCCAATGGAAATAAGTCACTCAGTCTGACTTTTTTGGGTTATCCTAGGTTCTCTACACATATGCTGCTATGTATGATAATTCTATGTAACTGTATTTGTGTATACCTGAATAAACTTACTGAATGAATGAATGAAAAAAAATTGTACGATTTATTTGACTGTCGATGACGTCTGAGTACGTCTGCTAAAAATTCTAATTGTTCACCTTAAATGCGTTGTCAAAATGCTTTGGATCTAAAGCACTAAATTTGGAAACCACATTTTTAAAATGCTCAAATGCTCTACTTATGCTATTTTTAATAGAATCTAATGACACTAAATAGGATTCAACTGTGAATTTCTTTTGGGTATCAAATATTCCTTCATCCTCTGCACTTTCATTATGGATTTTTTTTCTTTTGCGTTCTTTGGGCTATTTGTATTCCGTATTAATAATTTTCGAGCCAAGTCAGTTGTTTCATTCACACTCTGAGTCTAGATTCATACTCATTTCCCATATTTTTCATATTTTTTTTTTTTCAAAAAGCTGAATCAAATGAAGTCGTTGCCAGATTAGACATTTTTTGTAAATAGGTGGACAAATTGAAAGCTTTGGTGTTTCCTTTACCTCAGCGAGCTTTTTAGGAGTACAGTTTTTTTTGTTTAGCTCATCATCCAGAATTCTCTATAGAGCATTTACTAGTACTGGTAAATTCTGCAAAACTGCTGACTTTTTGGAAGCCCATTTATTATCACATGGTTTCTTGTAGTCAGTACGAAAGATTTGATCTGATTGCATTGTTCTTTTAGTACTGAAAGACGACATAAACTGTTTCAAAAGTGGTGTATCTTATGTGAAAGATATATAGTGATAAGACAACATTATCTGGCTGTGATGAGTCAACATGGTGTTGGGTGCTGTAGTGTAGTCGAGTCAGGTTCAGTACACGTTAGACGCAGCAGCTTCCACCACAAGTTTCCACACCCCGTGACCAGTAGTAAATTGTTCTTCGGGTGGTGTAACGCCAGTTATTTTGGATCACAATCTATACGTGAGTACTTTATATATTATACAAAATGGGTCAATAAAAACACTCACAGTGTTGAAGAGGTTATAAAGAGTGGGAGAAATAATTTACGGGACTTGCCCCGCCCATGCTGTAAAGCCCTTGTGGCTTAGCGCTTCTTTTTGATTATAATAATAATTGCCCCGCCCATAATTTGAGGGAAGGTTCCTTGAAACAGGCGAAGAGGTCTTTTAATCCAAGGAACCGACCTGTCTTTCCCTTCCTTGGATCAAGCTGGATTACCTCACATTACCCAGGTGCTATATAATCCCTTTGGATTGGCCCTCCCCATGTATGTACTATTAGTAGTAGTAGCAATTAATACAGTGAAAAAAGTAACTTGATGATGCGTGAAGATGCTGATAAACGTTTTTGTTGAGAAAATTCTCAAACAAATACCCTAGTGGGTTTAGCGCTTGGGTTTTATTATCATCTCACACAAGTATCAAAATAAACAAAAATAAGAAACAAGGCTCTCAGAAGAAACCACGGAAGCCGTGTTAAGACTTAAGGTGTCATCCTGATAGTAACGAAGTGTTGTGACAAATTTACTCCTCCAGAGTTTCCTTGACGCTGGTGAGGGGCTCCTTGATCTAGGGGATTTGAATCTGTGCTCCAGTTCCCCTGAATTGAGCCTGAATACCTTCACCCACTACATGCGCTGTATACTATTGAGTTTAGCGCGCCCCCATAATTATAATGTAATAAATTTATGAAGGGGTTCAGGGAAACCGGCAGGCCGGACTGAGTCCTGGAGATGGGAAGTACAGTGTCTGCACTCTGAAGGAAGGGTGTTAATGTTGCAGTTTAAAAACTGTAGTGTAAAGCACCCTTCTGGCAAGACAGTGATGGAGTGAATGATGGTGAAAGTTTTTCTTTTTCGGGCCACCCTGCCTTGGTGGGAATCGGCCAGTGTGATATAAATAATAATAAAATTTAAATAACGAAAGACCTAGGTTTATTCAGTAACTTTGTGCAGAGCAGAACCCAGATTAGTGACACCACCAACATGTAAACTCAGTTTTTGGAGACAAAAAGGAATCCTAGAAATTTGATGTATAATTATTAAGATAAGCTTATATTCGTTAATGCAGTCTTTGTGAGCGAAATGGCCTTTTATTTGGCCTTATCTTGAAGAGTAAACCTGGCAACCCCAATAGAAATAAATCACTGACTTTTTTTTTGGGTTATCCTAGGTTCTCTACACACATTCTGCTATGTATGATAATCTATAACTACTTGTGTATACCTGGATAAACTTTTTAATCCTGTAGTGTGACCACACCGGTACCAGTTAGGGGGAGTGTTGTCTTATCTTGCAAACACGAGTAGTATTAATCAGTAGTATTGTCTTGCTCTAACATTACTGGTAACCAGGAGTATATTTCTTGCTCTAACAACACACAACCAGTAGTAGTGTTGTCTTGCTCTAACACTGGTAACCGGTTATTTACGCTCTTACTTTAAGTTGAGCTAATGTGTTTTTGATCCTTTTTTGGACACCCATAATAAACTTTAATAAACATACGTGTAAATGTTACCTTATTCCTAGTAATGACCCTCGTGTAGTAGATAGTCTTTTTAGTATGATAATAAGATGTTATCTTCATTATAGAATAATAAGAAAATATTATAACCTTTATATTATAATAATAAGGTAAAAGGACCCCAATGGAAATAAGTCACTCAGTCTGACTTTTTTGGGTTATCCTAGGTTCTCTACACATATGCTGCTATGTATGATAATTCTATGTAACTGTATTTGTGTATACCTGAATAAAAATTACTGAATGAATGAATGAAAAAAAATTGTACGATTTATTTGACTGTCGATGACGTCTGAGTACGTCTGCTAAAAATTCTAATTGTTCACCTTAAATGCGTTGTCAAAATGCTTTGGATCTAAAGCACTAAATTTGGAAACCACATTTTTAAAATGCTCAAATGCTCTACTTATGCTATTTTTAATAGAATCTAATGACACTAAATAGGATTCAACTGTGAATTTCTTTTGGTATCAAATATTCCTTCATCCTCTGCACTTTCATTATGGATTTTTTTTCTTTGCGTTTCTTTGGCTATTTGTATTCCGTATTAATAATTTTCGAGCCAAGTCAGTTGTTTCATTCACACTCTGAGTCTAGATTCATACTCATTTCCCATTTTTTTTCATATTTTTTTTTTTTCAAAAAGCTGAATCAAATGAAGTCGTTGCCAGATTAGACATTTTTTGTAAATAGGTGGACAAATTGAAAAGCTTTGGTGTTTCCTTTACCTCAGCGAGCTTTTTAGGAGTACAGTTTTTTTTGTTTAGCTCATCATCCAGAATTCTCTATAGAGCATTTACTAGTACTGGTAAATTCTGCAAAACTGCTGACTTTTTGGAAGCCCATTTATTATCACATGGTTTCTTGTAGTCAGTACGAAAGATTTGATCTGATTTTCATTGTTCTTTTAGTACTGAAAGACGACATAAACTGTTTCAAAAGTGGTGTATCTTATGTGAAAGATATATAGTGATAAGACAACATTATCTGGCTGTGATGAGTCAACATGGTGTTGGGTGCTGTAGTGTAGTCGAGTCAGGTTCAGTACACGTTAGACGCAGCAGCTTCCACCACAAGTTTCCACACCCCGTGACCAGTAGTAAATTGTTCTTCGGGTGGTGTAACGCCAGTTATTTTGGATCACAATCTATACGTGAGTACTTTATATATTATCAAAATGGGTCAATAAAAACACTCACAGTGTTGGAAGAGGTTATAAAGAGTGGGAGAAATAATTTACGGGACTTGCCCCGCCCATGCTGTAAAGCCCTTGTGGCTTAGCGCTTCTTTTTGATTATAATAATAATTGCCCCGCCCATAATTTGAGGGAAGGTTCCTTGAAACAGGCGAAGAGGCTTTTAATCCAAGGAACCGGACCTGTCTTTCCCTTCCTTGGATCAAGCTGGATTACCTCACATTACCCAGGTGCTATATAATCCCTTTGGGATTGGCCCTCCCCATGTATGTACTATTAGTAGTAGTAGCAATTAATACAGTGAAAAAAGTAACTTGATGATGCGTGAAGATGCTGATAAACGTTTTTGTTGAGAAAATTCTCAAACAAATGACCCTAGTGGGTTTAGCGCTTGGGTTTTATTATCATCTCACACAAGTATCAAAATAAACAAAAATAAGAAACAAGGCTCTCAGAAGAAACCACGGAAGCCGTGTTAAGACTTAAGGTGTCATCCTGATAGTAACGAAGTGTTGTGACAAATTTACTCCTCCAGGGAGTTTCCTTGACGCTGGTGAGGGGCTCTTGATCTAGGGGATTTGATCTGTGCTCCAGTTCCCTGAATTGAGCCTGAATACCTTCACCCACTACATGCGCTGTATACTATTGAGTTTAGCGCGCCCCCATAATTATAATGTAATAAATTTATGAAGGGGTTCAGGGAAACCGGCAGGCCGGACTTGAGTCCTGGAGATGGGAAGTACAGTGTCTGCACTCTGAAGGAAGGGTGTTAATGTTGCAGTTTAAAAACTGTAGTGTAAAGCACCCTTCTGGCAAGACAGTGATGGAGTGAATGATGGTGAAAGTTTTTCTTTTTCGGGCCACCCTGCCTTGGTGGGAATCGGCCAGTGTGATAATAAATAATAATAAAATTTAAATAACGAAAGACCTAGGTTTATTCAGTAACTTTGTGCAGAGCAGAACCCAGATTAGTGACACCACCAACATGTAAACTCAGTTTTTGGAGACAAAATAGGAATCCTAGAAATTTGATGTATAATTTTAGATAAGCTTATATTCGTTAATGCAGTCTTTGTGAGCGAAATGGCCTTTTATTTGGCCTTATCTTGAAGAGTAAACCTGGCAACCCCAATAGAAATAAATCACTGACTTTTTTTTTGGGTTATCCTAGGTTCTCTACACACATTCTGCTATGTATGATAATCTATAACTACTTGTGTATACCTGGATAAACTTTTTAATCCTGTAGTGTGACCACACCGGTACCAGTTAGGGGGAGTGTTGTCTTATCTTGCAAACACGAGTAGTATTAATCAGTAGTATTGTCTTGCTCTAACATTACTGGTAACCAGGAGTATATTTCTTGCTCTAACAACACACAACCAGTAGTAGTGTTGTCTTGCTCTAACACTGGTAACCGGTTATTTACGCTCTTACTTTAAGTTGAGCTAATGTGTTTTTGATCCTTTTTTGGACACCCATAATAAACTTTAGATTTCAGAGTTGCCCAAGGTGTTAGCTTGAGTTAAGTAGTATGTTTATTTAGGGACAGGTACACATAAGTACTGTTATCATACACAGTGTAAATTACCTAGGATAACCCCAAGAAGTCAGTGACTTGTTTCCATTGGCTGAATACTTGGCACATTTTTGGGGGGTTATAATAGGTAATGTACATACATGCTACTGTACTTGGAGGGAGTTTAGGGGTCAACGCCCCTGCGGCCCGGTCCATGACCCGGCCTGGCGTGGATCAAGACCTGTTCAACCGCTGTTACTGTTGGCTGCAGGCAAACCGACGTATGAACCAGCTCCATCTTGAAGACAGCATGGGGTGCTGAGAGGCAGTTGAACAATCTTGAGCCCCTGACACTTATTGTGTGGTCTCTTAGTGTACTCATGGCACACCTGCTTTTCATTGGGAAATGTTGCATTTCCCTGTTTGCCCCTTGCTTAGAAAGGGGTTGTTTCCCGTGTCAGATTTGGGGGGGTCCCCCCTATTTTTTTCCCCCGTGTATAGAAATTTGTATGATCATTGTATTTGTGTGAACCGTACCAAAATAAATTTGGCTTATAGTTTGACTTCAGATTATCGGGGGAATAATCCCCCTTTCAGTCCCTTTAATTTCCCGGCAAAGGGCCCCTTGATCCTGGAAGGGGGAACTCCCCGGGGACCCCCTTGGTTTTTAACCCAGTTTCCCTCTCTTTTTTCCTTTTTCAATAGGGGTTGTAATTACTTTTATGGTTTGGGGGTTCCCCTTTAAATTAAAAATTTTCTATTTGTATATAATGTGTCCATATCACATTTGTGTCTTTAAAAATTTTTTTAAAAAATGTTTGTTGTGCATGCTGAATATTTAAATTAAAATTTTAACCTAATGCCCTCTATTATTTACCGGGGGCCTGGGGCAAAAGCTTCCGCTTCCCCCACACAAAGGGCCCGGGGGTTCGATTCCCGGGGGGTGGAAACATTCGAAATTTTCCCTTTTCACCTGTTGTCCTGTTAAACCTAGCAGCATTAGGTAGGGGTGTTAGTCGACGGTGGGGTCGCTCCGGGGGGAAAAGAAAAAGGGCCCCCAAGGGGAAATAATTTTAGACAGTCCTCGATGACCCCACTGCCTTTTTGGGTTTAACCTGGGGGGCCCTAACCCCCCGGGTTAAAAATCCGAACGAAATCTTATTTATCTTATTTAATTTTCCCCAAATTTTAAATTTCATTGTTTTTGAGTTCTTTTTTGTTCAGTTAAATAAGATATCCCCAGCCCCCTGCTTTATCCTTTTTTTAATACTTAGCTTCTCCCTTTAAAATTAAAATTTATTTCTCCCAAAATGCCAAAAATAAAAAGGGGGCTTTTCTATAAAAGGGGTTTAACAGCCCTTTTTACCTTATACTGAAAAAAAACTGAAACTTTTTTGGGAATCAAATTATTACAGGTATTGTCATAATTCTAATATTTAAAGGGGGCCCAAAGTTTCGGGGTTTCTAGGTTTCCTGTAAAAAATAATAATTTAAATTCCCCGGGGGGGACAAATTTTTGTCGCCTTTGTATTTTCTCTAATGTTTTTAAAAAGAAACTTGTATATGTATTCTCGATTTCATATGTTTTATTGCAAGCTTTTGAAATTTTGGATAATTACGGGTACAGGTTACTTAAATTTTTTTGGGTTTAAAAAAAATCAATTTTTTTATATATTTTGTAAAAAATTTAAAATTTTTAAAATTTTGTTATTTACTGTACTGTAAAGTGAGAGTTTTAAGTAATAAGAAAGGTTTTTTCGGGTTTTAAAACACAAATCATTTTTACATAAAATTTTATTACAAAGCAGCATTTGTGGGGAACCCTAGGATAATCCAAAAAATCAACAGAGTGACTTTTTTCCATTGCCTGGTTTTCAACGGCGGTCTCTGGGTTCGTTCCCCAGCCGGGGTAGAAACTTTAGGGGTTTTTTTTCTTTTTGGGCCGCCCACGGCTATGCTGTCAGTGGCCCTAAAACCCCAGAGAAAAGTAGTAGTAGAAAGTAAAGGGAAAGAAAAGGGGGCCCTTTAAAACACTATCTCGGTTTTTTTCGGGGGTTTTGGGGTACACAAAAAGTGTGACCCCAAGTTTGATTCAAAATTTTGCCCTTTTCCGGGGGCCTTTTTTTGGATTTTGCCAAGGTTCGGATAGGGGACGGGGGCCGGATGTGTGGGTACCCTTTTGAAGGGTATGTATGTATGAAGGGTAGGGAAATTATATTTATAATTTTATATTATTTAATTATTATCACCCGGGCCCCGTTTCCCCACCAAGGCATTTTTGGCCCCCAAAAAAGAAAAATTTTCACCATCATTCACTCCATAAAGCTTGCCAAAAAGGGTTTGCTTTTACACTCCCTTTTTTAAAACTGCAAATTAAACAGTATTGGTTGGTAGAAGAAAACCACCCAGGGAAGTACTACCCCCCTGCCAGATGACTGTAAAACAAAAACCCCTGTAACTGTTTTGCTTGTTTGGTAGGATTGCTGGTTTTTTTTTCTGTCTCATAAACCTAGATAACAGCATATCTTGTACCCCTACTTACACTTTTGGCACACTTCACAGACACACACATGCATATTAAAAAAAATTCTCTAGGTTTTTCTTCCCCTTTTTTTTAAAAAAACTCTTTTTTCCCCTTTTTTCTTTTATTGTCCTTGGGGAAGTGGAAAAAAATTTTTTCCTCCGTAAACCCATGCGTGTCGTATGAGGCGACTAAAAAAGCCGGGAAACAATTTGGGCTAGTAACCCCTTCTCCCGTAGAATTTTCTAAAAAAAAGAAGGGAAAAAAAAATTAAATATATTTATAAAAAAAATATATATATTTTTATATATATATATATATAAATATTATAAAATTTAAAATATTTATATAAAATATAATATATATATTTGGGGGTGGGCATGTCAGCGGATGGGTTTTAGAAAAATGAGGGGAATCATAGAATTGATGGGGGGAAAAGAGTTTAGTGGTGCACTTTGGAGTCTGTGGAGAAAAAAAACTTTTTCCCCTTTGGGCAAAGAGGGGAATGTATTAGAGTATAAATTTTACCAACGCTCTTAATGGGGGTGAAGATGGGGGATGAATTTGCAGGGGGAGAAAGGGTGGAGGCAGTGGGAGATTCCTGTCTGGGGCCCGTGTGGTGGAAAATAATGCAAGAATTCGTAGTTTGGAATTTTTGGGGGGTGCGGGATTCCAAAAAAGTTGTTCCCGAGGGGGAAGGGAAAGGGGTTTTTGAGGTGGTTGGGCATTTAGAGGAAGGAGCGAAAAAAGAATACCCCCCCAAAAGTGTATTTGTCTGGGATGGGAAAGGGAAAGGGGGGTAGGGGTCGGCCCAGGAAGGGGGAGAAGGGGGGGGGAAAGGGGGTAAAAGGGGGTTTTGGGGTGGGAAGGGGGTTTTGGGGCTTCCAGGGGGGCAAGCGGAGTGTTTTGATAGGGGTG